GTCATATCATTTGGAGCAGGGCCTAGACCCTCCCCAGTGTGTCTAGGCTGAGAGAGTATAACTCGGTGTGGAGTGGGCTCCCAAAGTCCATTTGTGTACTGGGGATAAATACTGATCTGCTACCAGTGGCCCCATAGATTGTCCAGGTCTCCAAACTGACCTCTTCGTACAGGAGGTCTGGGTCGGTCCTATGCTGGTTTCCCAGCTATCAGTCTGGGGTCTATGAGCAACGCCTTGTTCAGGTCAGCTGTTTCTGTGGGTTTCTCCAGACTGGTCTTGACCCCTTTGCTCACGACACCTTCCTCTCTGCAACTGGATTCCAGGAGTTCAGCTCAGTGTTTAGCTGTGGGTGTCTGCTTCTGCTTCCATCAGCTACTGGATGAAGGCTCTAGGATGGCATATAAGGTAGTCATCAGTCTCATTATTGGAGAAGGGCATTTAAGGTAGCCACTTGACTGTTGCTTAGATTGTTAGTTCCTGTCATCCTTATAGATCCCTGGACATTTCCCTAGTGCCAATTCTCTTTAAACCTATAATGGCTCCCTCTATTATGGTATCTCTTTTCTTGCTCTCCTCTGTTTTTCCTCTGACTAGATCTTCCTGCCCCCTCCTGTCCCCTCTCCCCTCCTCTTCTCTCCTTCTCTTTCTTCTAACTCCCTCTCCCCTCCCCCATGCTCCCAATTGGCTTAGGAGATCTTGTCCCTTTCCCCTTCTCCAGGGGACCATGTGTGTCTCTCTTAGGTTCCTCCTTGTTTCCTAGCTTCTCTGGTGTTGTGGATTGTAAGCTGATACTTCATTGCTCTAGATCTAAAATCCATATATGAGTGAGTACATACCATTTTTGTCTTTTTGTGACTGGGTTATTTCAGGGGATTTTCTATATGTACCATCACATTGCCTGTGATGAGATGAAGTTTTAATTCTTTCTTCTAAGTTTTATGACTTCCATTGTTTTTCTTACCTTATTTCTCTGGCTAATTCACAATGTGATGTATAATAGGTAGGTTGTTAACTGTAAACTTTTTGGAGATGGTCTTCATCGAGTTCCTTACATTCCCTTATATCCATAGTTTTAGGTGTGGTTTTTAATGATCATAATTGGAATTGGGTTTTATCAGATGATTTTTGTAGGTATTAAGAAGATCATATTTTCTTTAGTTTATTAATATTAATATAATGAACTGTAATGATTGATTCTTGAGAATTGAAAAAACCATTGACTTCTTTGGATAAATTCCATTGAGGCCTGGTGTGTTTTGTATTGCTGGATTCTGTGTGCTAATATTAAATTGAAGATTTCTGTATCTATGTTCACAAATATTGACTTAAAATTTTCCTGTTTTGTAAAGTCTTTGCTTTGATAGCAGAGCAAGGCTGAACTCACACATGAATATTGTTTAGTTTTTCTATCAGAAGCAGTGGAGTTTGTCTTATTTATATTTTAAATTAGTGGACTATATCAGGGAAGTTATTTGAGCTTGAGTTTTCTTTATTCAGATATAGAACTATCTAAGTTATTTATTTTTCTTGAGTGAGTTTTAATAGTTTGTGTCCTTGAAGGAATTGCTCCATTTCATTTGAATTGTAGAATTTATGTGGAAATTATTTGTCCTGGTGTGCTTGGCAAAATGTCACAGACTGGGCATATTAAAGAGCAGACCTTCATTCTTCACAGTTCTGGAAAATGGACTTTGAAAACCAAGATGCTATTCAATTCAGTTTCTGGTGAGAGTATCTTCCTGGCTGGTGGACAGCCTTGTTTTCCCTGTGTCTTCATGAAGTGTCAGGAGAAAGGGCCCCAGTGTCCTTTGCTCCTTTCCTAAGATCACAACTCCTGGAACTACAGGATACACCCAATGACCTCACTTCCTTAGTCACCCCCATTCATGCTCCATGTTTGTGTGGAGAGTTGCAGCTTTAACACATGAATCTTGGGGGGGGGGACACAATTCAGTTCATAGCAGTATTCTCTTCTAGTCTTCTCAATGTCTGTGGGACATTGTAATAATAATGTTCTCTTTCATTTCTGATTCTGGTAGTCTATGTGTTTTTTTTTCCAATCATTCTGGATAAAGGTTTGCCAATTTGGTTGATCTTTTAAGAACCAGCTGTTAGTTTCATTAATTTTTCTTTGTTTTCATGTTTTAAGTTTCATACCTTTTCTGCCTCGTTTCTATCTTGCTTTATTTAGGTTTGTTTTCTGTTCTAGCTAATTCAGTTAAAAGCTTAGATTATTTATTTGATACATTTTATTTTTTCTAACAATCACTTTCTGCTCTGTCTCACAAAGTTTGATATGTTTGTATTTTCATTCATTTCTAATTTTTTTTTAAATTATGAGTTCTTTGCTTTCCAAATATTCTGGAGTTTTCCAGATGTTTTTCTAGTTTAATTCTACTACACCAGAAAACACACTTTGTAAGATATCTGTCATTTTAGATTTATTAGGATTACATAAATTTTACAGTAAAGTCTGTCTGGGTATATGTCCCATGTACACAGGCCTAATGTGTATTCTGATGGTGCTGAAGGATGTGTTTGGTAATTCTGCTCCCCTGAGTTACAGTCAGCTATCATTTGTGAATTCTGTGTTTGTACTGATGTCCTATTTATTTGTTCTATTGATCATGGAGAGAAGCTTATCAGTACCTGTGATGAGCCATTTTCCAAAACTTGTCCCTAGTGACATTCTTTTGTCTTATGCCTTGCATGCTACTCCAGGTGTATGATTAGTGTTTGCATGGAAGATCCATTCTATGAGTTTTCGTTTTCTCTGCCCGCCTCTCTTAATGTTCAAAAGAGATCAATCACATAGTTCTGACACTTTCACTGCCACTTCCAGGTATGGAAATGGTACCTCTTCCAGGTAATACACACGGGAGGTCAAATCAGAGCTATCCATTTACATTCTCAGGCTCCTGAGGCATGGGGATGCAACAGGAGTCCAAGGGAATTTGTGACGGCTCAGATGTCCTCACTGCTACAAATATCAAGATTCTATGACATGAAAGAGGGTACTTATATTTGATGAGGGAATGTGAAGTTGCAGGCTTTGAAGTGCAAGTCCTGGGATGCTTCGGTGACTTCTGTGGGAGGCATAAGCATGTGTTTAGCACCACAGGGCACTGTGAGTTGGGCTGGAGTTGGCTGAGCATGAGTGACCAGCACAAGGCACTAAGAAGAAATAACACACAAGAGTTGGGGGGGGGGTGTTAACCCTGTGGGCCTGTGGGTGCAGGAGGGAAGGCCCAGATAAGGAGGTTGTATGATCCTGAAAGCAACAGCTCCTTAAGGCTCAGTAGCATGCACCTTGCTCCACCACCTATGTGACAATTCTGCTCAGAGTAAAAATGTGAGAGGTCCTTACAGGCTACCACCTCGTTTTCCATTGTGCTGTAATACTGTGTGAGTACTCCAACCTGCAGAGCTAACCTGCACGAGGGTCAGTGGGCTTTGACAGACCTTTCTGCTTTGGGGTAACTATAGTAGGGCACATGTGGGGGTGTCACATGGGGTCTCTTGGTGTGATTAACTCAATGTCACCTTCTCTTTTAGGACCAAAGATGATGATTCCATCAGGAGAGTGTACATATGCTGGCAGGAAGAGAAGGAAACCCATTCAGAAGCGGTAGAGTATCATGCCCTCCACCCTGATATCCCTGGGGAACGAGGGACATACTGAGGACAGGGGATGTTATAGGCAAACACAGTATAAGGTAGGCTTTGGAGAACTGTCCTGATAGGCATGGTCATGGTGGCCTTTGGGTCTCATGCAACTGTAACCGGTCACTGTCTTTCCTTATTTAGCAGACAAGCTTACTTTAGGCAGCTTTTCTGACCTAGACACAAAGCACTGGTTGGAATTGGTGGAGATCTCATCTGGGTGAGGGATATGTCACTAGTGTGTTTGGAGCCTTTGCTCCCTTCAGCAATGAGTCATTCTGTCTGTGGAAAGTGCCCTAGGGTTTAGTCTTCACGCTCCAAATGACAGAGGCTCCTTGGGGTGTATTTTCCCCACCTAAGGTCTCTGAAGGTATAGAGATGGGGGGACTCAGGGCTCAGACCCATGTCCCTGAGGTATATATACAGTCATCCTTGTCTGTGATCTTTCTGCCTGTCTTGGGCTTAACCTGCAGGCCACAGAGTGAGAGTGTGTGGGAGCTCCAGCAAAACCAGGGTTCAGCACCCTTTCTAGGACATCAGCTGAGTTACAGCTTCTATAAGAGGCCCACAGGCTGCCTCTGGTCACTAGTATAGAATCTGCTGTGTGCATCACCAGTTGGGGGCTGCAGTTGTGTGTGTGTGTGTGTGTGTGTGTGTGTGTGTAGGAGAGGGAGAGAGGGAGAGGGAGAGGGAGAGAGAGAGAGACAGAGACAGAGAGACAGAGAGACAGAGACAGAGAGACAGAGAGAGGAGGGTAGATGTTGTGGATACGTGATACTGCTATGTGTATGATGCAGCTGTACATGAGGCTGGGATGCAACAGGTAGTTAATGGAACACCCACCAGTAGCTCTTTCTAGGTGTACTCTCTTTGTATGTGGTAGAGCTACCCCTGCTGGCCTCCAGGGCTACAAGATCCTGTGTAGATTTAAGACCATGTGATCCAAGGACTGAGGAGAAGCTGAGATTGCTCTGAGTGTGAGGCTGGGCTTTGAAGGTGGTTATTTGGAGATTGGGGCCACCAAACAGTGAGGTAGGCTGGGATATGGGTCTTTGATTAGAAGAGGAGCGCTGGGGGAAAGCTGATTGCACTGAAGAAAAGACGCAAAGCCCATGAGATTAGGCATAGAAATGGGCTCCTCTGTGACAGGGATTTAGATTTGTTTACATAACATTGATCATATAAGTAAGAAAAGAAAGTAACTTTGTCCCTTAGCTGAAACAGTGGTATCTGGTGGGCAGTGTAGAAAGAGACTGAGCTGCATTTTTTTTTTGTCTTCATAATATTTTTACTCCATGAGGCATTGTTTGAGGCATTGAATACTTACCTTTTACTTTGTTTCATTTGTTTTTAAGACAGGATCTCACTATGTAGCCCTGACTGGCCCAGAATTCATTATGTACACCAGACTGGCCTCGAACTCACAGAAATCTGTCTGCTTCTGCCTCCCAACTGCTAAGATTAAAGACAAGCGCCACCATATCCAGTTAGCATTTTGATTTATGAATGCTCCAAAAAGACAGAAAGCTTGCCTTGTTCACAACTCAGGGGCTGTCTTCACACCCTGTCCCCTTTCAAGAAGCATCTGAGTTTAGCATCGTCTGTAAATGCTTCCTGAGATGTCCTCACTGTGTTCGTTTCTTCTTCTATGTGTGCTCATGTTGTATACATACTTGCAAGCCTCAGAGTCTGTGGCATAGGCTGCACTTTGCCTGCAATACACTCTGAGTAGACGAAGTGTGCTTTACAAGGGTGCTATCTCAGTCCTTTGCTGTCCATTAAGCTCTGTGGTGTTCTCCAGCTGCAACATAGGTCTGCAGCACACATGTCATCAGCCAAGAACTTTCCACCTTTATCCAGGGAGCATAGGAATGTGGGTAAATGGCACAGGTAGCTGATGTTAGTGCCACCTGCCATGCTATAAGTGGCAAGTAATTTTATAAGAGTGTTCTTTAAGCGATCAAAATTCTTTTCTTCACAACCCTAGGTTCTACATAGTAGCTATGGGTATTTCTGAATCTATAACTTCTCCCAGAAATTAATGCCTGGTGTCACCAGAACCATGTTTGGTGTTTCCCATCTAATACTCTAGGACCCCCGAGTCTTTACCAGGAACAGCGTCTTCATCTCATGACAATGTGGAAGTTGTGATACTCAAGTCCCTGATTCTTGTGTGTGTGTGTGTGTGTGTGTGTGTGTGTGTGCGTGTGTGTGCATGCACGCACGCACATACACACACCAGAGAGCAACTTATGGAAGTCAGTTCTGTTCTTCCATTATATAGGTCCCCAGATCAAACTCAGGCCATTAGGCTTGGCATCAAGCATCTTTACCAACTGAGCTATCTCACTGGCTCACATCAGCTTTTCCTTTACTGAAGTATAATTGAAGTACAAGTGTTTCAATAAAACTGACAAAGTTTACAGGTTAATCAGTTTTTGCCCATGAAATCATCAGCATGTCAAGATCTCAAATGTTCTACCACTCCAAAAGTCTCCTTTTGAACCTTATCTGTTCCCACCACCTCTGTCCCCAGGCAGGCTCTGCTCCATTTCCTGTCATTGTGGACTTTGCACTTCTTGTGTCATGTATAATGGAATTATATTCTTTGGAGCTTTTGACTTGCATAAAGACTCTGGGATTCCTCTGAATTTGTGTACCAATAGCTGATTTCTTTATTTTTCTTTATATTCTCTGCTGGGGGGATATTCCAAGTTTGGTGGGCACCTGGATTGTCCTATTTGGGGGCTATTAAAGATTCTGTGATGTCTACAGCGATTCTTTGAGAGCTGGTTACTTCTGTTCTTCTTGAGTAAACCTAGAGAGGCAGTTGCTGCATAGCAGTGTGCTTATCTTTCCCAGAAACCTCAGTCCATTTTCTAAAGTCATTGCATCCTCTTATGTTCCAGGTACAGTGAAACAGGGCATAGACCCCTCCATATTCTCTCCGGTGCTTACATCACCAGTTTTTAGTTTCAGCCACTTTCATGGATTTGTAGAGTTTCAGGGTTAACCTGTATTGACTTAAGGAATAATGATACTGCATGTGTATTTGTGGGCTTTCTTTTCATCCATACAGTTTCTGTGGTAAAGTGGTCAAATAATTTGCCTATTTTCATTTTCGGTTGTTTCATTATGTCATGAGAGCTCTTTGTATACTATATTTTCTTCCAGTCTTTGATAACTTCTTTTATTTTGTTAGTATTGGTTTTGGAGGCTGGGGAAATGGCAATGAGGGCATAACTCCAGTTCCCTAGCACCTACATAAAAGCTATTCATGGCGATACTCATCTGTAACCCCAGAGCTGCAGGCAGGGAAACAGGTAGATCCCGGAGGCTTCCTGGCCAGGCAGTCTAGCCCAAACAGCAAGCTTCAAGCTCAGCAAGAGACTATATCACAAAAATTAAGGTGGAAAAGTCTGATATCAACCTCTGGCTTCTCCTTACATTCACATCAGCTTATAAACATGCACACACACATACATGAACAAATGTACACATCTATACACTCACAAGACATTTTAAGCTGCGCATAGTGGTATACCTATAATTCCTGTACTTATGAGGCTGATGCAGAGACCAGCCCAGGTTAGTTACATACAAATCACTCTTACAACTCAAAACCAAAAGGCAGCCCAATTAAAGAGTGCCAAAGGACTGGATAGCCACTTCTCAAAGAAGATTTATGAATGAACAAGCACAGGAGAAGAATCACAGCATGACAAGTCACCAGGGAAGTGCAAATCAGAGCCACAAGGAAATACTACCTCATATCCACTGACTATAATAAAAGTGGAACTGAACAAGTGTAGACAAGCATGTGGAGAAACTGGTGAGTTGTGAAATGGTGCAGACGTGTAGAATACAGCCTGGTAGTTCCTCAAAACATGAAGCACAGAATCACACAGATCCAGCAATTCTGGTCCCACTTGTTCAAGCAGAGCCTTCTGAGTGAATGCTCAGAGCAGCCATATTCACAATGATCATCAATGGAAAACCACCAGACTTGTTAGTTGGTGCAAGATCAGTAAAATTCAGTCCATTTGTATACTTGAATATTATTCGGCCATAAAAAAGAATGAAGAATCAGAATACATATTGTAATGTGAATGAATCATGGAAGCACCCTGTTTCGTGAAGGCAGTTAGTCGCATGGATGTACCGTTATTCGTGTTTCTGTACATTCAGATGAAATACCCATTACAGGTCAGTCTACATGACTAGAAAGCAGGTCAGCAGATTCAAACACAAAAGTAAGGAGCTTAGGAGAAAAATGCACATGAGGAAGGGACTTCCCTTTGAACAGTAAAAATCTTTAGGCCAAGAAGAGATGTGCAGTGTCATGACTGGCAAGCAAAGGAGGCTATTTTTTTTAATTTTTATTATTTCAAATTAGGAACAAGCTTGCTCCACATGTCAATCCCTTCTCCCTCTCCCTCCCCTCCTTTAGTCCTCCCCTCCAACCCTCCCCCAACCCCTTACCTGCTCCACACCTCATCCCCCCTCCACTCCCCAGGCAGTGTAGGGCCCTCAACGGGGGCTCCCCAACGTCCACCACATCATCCTGGGACGGGTCTAGGTCCTCCCCCATGTGTCCAGGCCAATAGAGCATCCCTTCACATGGGATGGGCTCTCAAAGTCCCTTCTTACATCAGGGAAAAATATTGATCCACTACCAGGGGCCCTATAGAGTGCGGTGGCCTCCTCATTGACATCCATGATCAGGGGTCTGGGTCAGTCCCATGCTGGCCTCCCAGGCAGCAGTCTGGGGTCCATGTTCTCCCCCTTGTTCAGGTCAGCTGTTTCTGTGGGTTTCACTAGCCTGTTCTCGACACCTTTGATTTTCATTCCTCCCTCTCTGCAACTGGGTTCCAGAGTTCAGTTCAGTGTATATCTGTGGATTTCTGCCTCTGCTTCCATCAGCCACTGGATGAGGGCTCTAGGATGGCATAGAAAGTAGTCATCAGTCTCATTATAGGGGAAGTGCATTTAGGGTATCTCTCCACCATTGCCTAGATTGTCAGGTCGTGTCATCCTTGTAGATCTCTGGAAACCTCCCTAGTGCCAGATCTCTCCTCGGACCTATAAAGGCTCCCTCTGTTATGGTATCTCTCATCCTGCTCTCCTCTATTCTTCCCCCAACTCAACATTTCTGCTCCTCCATTTCCTTCTCTCCCCTCCCTTCTCTTCCTCTCATTCTGGCAGCTCCCTCTTCCCTACCCTCATGTTCCCAGTTAGCTCAGGAGATCCTGGCCCTTCCCATTCTCCAGGGTCCATGCATTTTTCTCTTAGAGTCCTTCTTGTTTCCTAGTTTCTTTGGTGAAGAGGATTGTAGGCTGGCAATCCTTTGCTCTATGTCTAAAATTCATATATGAGTGAGTACATACCATGTTTGTCTTTTTGTGACTGGGATACCTCACTCAGGTTGGTTTCTTCTAGTTCCATCCATTTGCCTGGGAATTTCAAGATTCCATTTTTTCCCACTGAGTAGTACTCCATTGAATAAATGTACCACATTTTCTCTATCCATTCTTCAGTTGAGGGGTATCTAGGTTGCTTCCAGGTTCTGGCTATTACAAACAATGCTGCTATGAACATGGTTGAACGTATGTCCTTGTTGTATGAATGTGCATTATTTGGGAATATGCCCAAGAGAGGAATTGCTGGATCCTGAGGTAGACTGAGTCCCATTTTTCTGAGCAAAGTTGTCTTACAAGTTTGCACTCCCACCAGCAATGGAGGAGTGTTCCCTTTTTCTCCACATCCTCTCCAGCATAGATTGTCATTGGTGTTTTTGATTTTAGTCATTCTGACAGGTGTGAGGTGGTATCTCAGAGTTGTTTTGAGTTGCATTTTTCTGATGGCCAAGGATTTTGAGCACTTTCTTAAGTATCTTTCAGCCCTTTCAGATTCCTCTGTTGAAAACCTCTCTATTTAGTTCTGCACCCCACATTTTAATTTCATTGGTGTTTTGGTAGCTAGCTTCTTGAGTTCATTGTATATTTTGGAAATCAGCCCTCTGTCAGATGTGGGGTTGGTGAAGATCTTTTTCCATTCTGTGGGCTGTTGTTTTGTCTTACTGACTGTGTCCTTTGCCTTACAGAAACTTCTCAGTTTCAGGAGGTCCCATTTATTAATTGTAGATCTCAATGTATGTGCTACTGGTGGAATGTTCAGGAAGCAGTCTCCTGTACCAATTCATTCAAGGGTATCTCCCACTTTCTCTTCTAGAAGGTTCAGTGTGGCTGGATTTATGTTGAGATCTTTGATCCATTTGGACTTAAGTTTTGTGCATGGTGACAGATATGGGTCTATCTGCAATCGCCTTGCATGTCCGAATCCAGTTGTACCAACACCATTTGTTGAAGATGCTTTCTTTTTTCCATTGCATAGATTCCATGTATGAACACCTGATTTTTGACAAAGAGGCTGGTTACTTTTAAAGGACTCATTATGTTGTTTTAGATAGATCTCACTTTGAAAAAGCAACAGCTTCTGGGTTTGTTGCTGCCTGGCATTATCAGAAACTGGGGAATTTGGGCCATTGGACAACTTCTCAAAACCTTAGGGGCCTCTAATCTGAGATTCCCTGAGACCCCAGAAAATGTTAGGCTGCTGAATCAGGCTGATTTTTGCAGATCTTCCAATAATGAGCCATTTTGCTCTCTTGTCCTTTCCAACATTGGATCCACTCTGGATGTTGTTGTCTCTTCTAGAGGCATAGTGTGGGTGATACTGACAACAAAGAATCAGGAAGGTTTGTTTATTCTGTGCCACAATTAAGTGGGTCAGGAGAGGGAGACATAAGAAGTTAGATGAAGGATGCTGAAGGCCCCCTGTCCAGGCAGGTAGTTGAGACCAGGTGAAACTGTCCATGAGTGAACAGGTTCCATGAGCTATATAAGTGGTGGGCAAAGGACCTCTTGACCGTCCAGATGCTGGGGCTCTGGAGGCTTTGACTTTGAGAACTTGTCTGTGATGTCTGGCAGGTCTTGGAGTCCTCTTGTATGCATTTGGACTCTCAGGCCTGAATTTTGAACTGAAATTCATTGTCCTGGGAACCAAAAAAGATGAAGAACTGTTTGGATTGCCAATGGATCAGGAAGCTATCATCATTCTAGCATGAGAACTTGTATTTTTCCTATCGTATATTAGGTTTGGGCTAGGTGCTGTGAGACTTTGAAGGAAGTCAAATGAAAGTATATTTTTCCATGCACATTCTTGTCCAGACAGCCCTAACCAGGTATCCTCCCTTCTCAGGAAACCTGTCACAGAAGGGTTGAGAAATGCAGCAGAGACACACAGTTAGTAGCCATGTCCTTCATCCTCGCCTGAGACTTTTCACACATTGCTCCAAATATTAGCTTGTAACTAATTAGTGTGTTTTTTCAGTTCCCCGGTATGCATCTTCAAGAAGGAGTGTAGGCAGAATATTCTGTTACACTAGCCAGCTCCCAAATAGCCACACAGAGACTTATTATTAATTATAAATGCTCTACTGATAGCTTGGGCTTGTTTCTAACTAGCTCTTATAACTTGAATGAACCCATTTCTATTCATCTACTTGCTGCCATGTTGCTTGCTTCCTCTGTGTCTGGCTGGCAACTCTGCCTTTCTTCATCCCAGAGAGCTCTCTCCCTGTCTGCAAGTGCAGCTTAACCTCTTCACGCCTAGCTAGTGGTCATTCAGCTCTTTATTAAACCAACAAGAGCAACACAAATTCACAAAAACATTGTCCCACAACCAAGGAGTGATCTCTGATTCCTTAAACATTTTCTGTCTGGGTAGCCACTTCAATGTCCCAGTAAGGTCACCACAGAGAATGGTTGCTTGCCTGTGGGGCCAGTGGCTCCTGGTGGGAACCTATATGACTAAGGCCTTCTTCCCACAGGAGGCTTACCATGGGGGCTGAGAAATCAAATCCTTCCAAACGGCACCGGGACCGCCTCAATGCAGAGCTGGACCACCTGGCCAGCCTGCTGCCATTTCCACCTGATATCATCTGCAAGCTGGACAAGCTTTCCGTCCTGCGCCTCAGCGTTAGTTACCTCAGGGTGAAGAGCTTCTTCCAAGGTAGGACCCTCACCTGTGACGTTGTTTCCATCTAAGACTGACTAAATCTCGCCTGTGAAGTATGGGTCCACCTGAGTCTGGTTTGGTTTCACTTGTGCACTGCTGGTTTTGGTCTGGGTCTTTTTGGTCTAGCTGGGTTTCTTCTGTGCTCTTTTGGGTCTTACCTGGGTCCACCTGCATCTAGATAAGTCTGACTTTGGCCCAGCTGTGATGAGACATGTGCATAATGTGTTATACCACCATGCGACCTTCCAGGCCTATGCTAGCCTGGGCTGACCAATCTGTGGGGCTCCTCTGGCTCCAGGTCAACAGTAAATACACTTGCTTCAGGGTTTCTACCCACTTTACTAGAATGGTCCTGGTGTTCTCTAAGAGCCAGATCCAGGACAGCTCTGGGGATGGGGGGCTTCAGGGAATAAGGGGGTCATGCCCAGTGACAGGACAGCTCTGTGGGAGATCCAGGGAATAAGGGGGTCTATTTTGAGAGAGAGGAGGATTGCCACAGGGAGGAGGCCTAGTGTCCACAGTTAACCTCTTTTTTCTGTATATTGCTACCTTGGGTACCACAGGGTGGCTCAGAAATAACTTTGGCAGCCAGGCTGATCTCCTACCACCATGCTCTAGCAAAGTCTTTCTGCCCTCTAAAACTTGGGAAACCTTGTCTTCTGGGAGTCCAGGGTCTCCCTGCATCCTGAAGCTCCAACCCATGCTGGTTTAGGGATATTTTGTATTTTTCTACTAGCTGTATTGAACCCTCAAGGGTAACAGGGCTCTGGCCTTCCTGGCATATTTGGCTTTGCCCTGTGGGAGAAGGATTGGGAAAAGTGCATGTGAAGGACTGGGGTGGGTGTTGACCATGGCTTCTCCTTTTGATCTGTATTCAGAATTATACCCATGTTCTGCCACATCATCTTATTTCCTTCGATGTCCAGGTTTTGGTTTTCTTGGAATCTTGGGCATCAGAAGGGCTGAAGAACAAATGCACAGGGCTTGAAGACATAGATAGGACTGGGCAGCTTCTTTTGTTGGAAGGTAGGGGTGATGTTCTCCTGGCTTCTGCATCGTGTGGCAGTCAAAGGTGATAGGCTTAAAGAGGGTTGAAATCCAAATGGTATGGTTTCCAGTTGCTGGTTTCTCAGGTTAGTTTCTGGGTACTGCATGCTTACATGTACTTCTAGGCTCTGATTGCCATCCTCAGTGTCCGGTTAGCAAGTGGGGCTTTCTTGGCCTGTGGGGTGTTCTCGGCAAGGGCCCTGCTAGCCTCAGCACATCCCCTGAGTCCTGGTGAAGTTTTGAATTCCAGTAACAGAAGGATGCCAAGTGAAAGTTTTGTGTAATGCCTGATGTCTGATCATCTTGACACCCTTACCTGAGGTCTTCCACAGGCACCCCTAAGTCCTGGCTAGTCCCAGACTCTTTGAATACCATATCACAGTGGAGCTGTGAAAACACATTATCCTTTCACTCTCTAGGGTTTCTAATTTTACATGTAAATATATTGCTTTTATGGATTTTCCTCCACCCTAGTGCTCTCTCCCATAGAACCCCTATCACTTTGGGGGTCCAGACTCAAGCTGCCTGCTGGGAAACTCTTAGTTCTAGTGGTGCTGCATTCAGTTTGTCTCTGAGGTTTGAGTGCTTTTCCAGGGCATGAGGGTGGGAAGAAATTGAGAAGATCTTTCAAAACATGCTGTGTCATCCTGATCTTGTATGGGTGTGGGAAGCTAGGAGGGAATTGAAGCCTCTGAGTTTGTTTTCTACAAAGTTCCTGAAAGTGAGAAGTGTGACTAAGTCAGCTCCCAGCTCCCATGGGCACTGAGGTTAGCAAACCTCAAGGGCAGCCCCCGTGTCTAGACCACTCAGATCGGACTCGGGCTGCTGCTCTGGGTAGAGAGACCCTGTCCAGAACTAAAAATGGCTTTGTTTTCTGACCTTGCACTGACATGGCCATGCATACACACACACTTGACCTCGGGACAGAGAAGAGGAGTGGTCTAATTTCCTTCTGTTGCTGTGATAAAATACTCTGGCAAAAGTAACCTAAGGACAGGAAAGTGTATTCAGTTTATAATTCCAAGTCACAGCCCATCCTTGAGGGAAGCCCGGGAAGAAACTTAAGGCAGGAATTTGAAGGCAGGTCCACTTACTCTTTCATGTAACCTTACCTTCAACCAAGCAACTCGTTTTACAGCCAGAGAAGCATGACAGGAGTCCTGGAGGATGCTGCTTGATAGATGACTTGAAGACTGGCCTGTACTCAGCTAGTATACACTTCAGGATCATCAGCCTAGCGATGGTACCATCCACAGTGGGCTGGTCCTTTCTATATAGTTAGCAATTATGAGGATTCCTTACAGATATGCCCACGGGCCAATCTGACAATTGAGGCTTTCCATTCAGATGACTCCAGGCTGTGTCAAATTGACAGGTAAAGCGAACTAGATCAGGAAACAAGACCAGGTTGCTTCTTCCCTGGACAGGCCTAGATGTACCCAGCCAGGCCAGAGCTTGTTGGCCCACAGGAGATCTGCTCCTGATGTTTCTGGCCAGTTCCAAAGACTGTCCAAGAGTCTGTATAAATGTCCAGTTGCTAACTTACAAGTGAAGTGGTTTGCCTGTCTTGCCACCATTTTTAAAGTTTTGTGATGTGAATGCAGCACTACTTTGTGGCTGGTTTACCCATATCACTGCAGTCTGAGGATCCCATTGTGCCGAAATGAAGGGAATTCTAGGGGTCTACAGACTTCCTGAGAGTGTTGTGGCTTCTGGGGGCAAGATAACAACCTTTTAAATTTCTGTACTACATACTTTTCACCAAGTGTTCTAAATTTTGTGATTCTCTTTAAGCTGTACATAGAGAAAAAATTCTAAAAATTTTCCTGAACTCATTTCCAACTGTGTGATTAGAAAAAAAACAAAGTGAAGCTACAAAAATTGGATTTTAGTTTATGCTTGTTGACCCAAATGAATGAGCTAATTTCATTAAAATTGCTATAAAACATCACCCCTGAAAAGGACATGAACTGGAAACTCCAAACTCAAAGGGTGACAGTGGCATGAGAATCTGTTTGGAACATTTAGGGTTGCCTTTAATGGGTTGTTAAAAGGCAGTGAACTATTTTAGTTTTATTCATCTGGTCTCTGTGTAACCAGGCCTCACATTTTCACAGTTCTTTACTTCCACCATCTTCTGTGGGTAATGGTCAGGGCTGGGATTTTCCGCTTTTATAAATTTTGCTATCCACAAAAGGGGAAATTTGGGTGAAGAAAAAAGTTGGGGAGTGTTTAGAAGAGACCATCTTGTCCTATTACAGGGCATGGAGCAGAGTCAGTTCCTCCCATGCTTACACTAGGCTGGATCCCTGGATACATGGCACTTGAACTAGAAAAGGTCAAGAAACCCTGGCACCATTAGTACAGTGTAAAAGCATTGTAGGTTGGCTTGTTTCATGCCTCCCCAGGGACTCCTTGCTGTCACCAAGACAAGGCCCAGGAAGACCTACCAGGAATAGAGACTCTCAGGCATTGATCGTAAAGATCATGCCCAGGCCTGGCCCATGGGCAATGTCTATCCAATGAGTCATTAGGATGACAACATTCATCAGGCAAGCAAATGTGCTTTTTTTTTTTTTTTTGTGGAGAGCCACACAAGGAAGAGATAATTCTAAAAATCCAAAACAAATAAGAAAAAGAGTCAGAGAGACCTAGTTTCATCTCTCATGAAAACCTAGAGATTTTTCATGGCTGTGCTGCTGCTGTTTCCTCCCTATGGCCCATTCTCATCTGGGATGGTGTCTGGGACCTTTTGCTCATATGCTATACCACCCCATACACTTCTGGCCATCCTAAAATTCCAGCCAACGTCAGTCCTGGCCACCATGCTTACTTGAACTGAACAGGCTCTTCTGCTTCATGTTAATCCCAGATGGACAAATACAGACACATCTTGACATCACTAGATTGTGAACTGGGACCCAGAACTTGGGAATACAACATCCATTAGCATGTAAAAATCTGGTGTACCTTGAGACTATTAATGATTTTGGATACTCAGGACTCATGTTAATAATTATTAAACTAAGTTGTGCCATTTTTCTGTTCTTGCTGAAGGATTACCTTTTCCCGATGGTCTTTTTTATGGGTTAAATATTTGTGTCCTCCCAAAATTCATATCTGGAAACCCAAATCTTCTGTGTGATGGCTTTTGAAGATGGGGCCTCTAAGTAATCAAAGTTAAAGAAGATCCCATGGTGTGGCTGTGTTCCTTCAGGATTATTGCCCTTATGAGAGGAACACAAGAACCCTCTCTGGACACATACCCAGAATAGCCACCCATTTGAGGACATAGCAAGACATGTGTTTATAAGCCAGAAAGGCCCCTTAAGGAACCCAAACTTGCTATCATTTTGACCATGACCTCAAGTATCTAGATCTGTGAGAAGATAAGTCCCCGTGGTCTAACCTGCCCTGCCAGCGGTATTTTGCTATAAGGACAACCCAAACTTGCTATCATTTTGACCATGACCTCAAGTATCTAGATCTGTAAGAAGATAAGTCCCCGTGGTCTAACCTGCCCTGGCAGCGGTAGTTTGCTATAAGGAGCCTTAGCTGTCTATATACTGAGAAGTGGAATGCCATTGAGACAAACACTGAGTGATGTGAGAAAAGCTTTGGAATGGAGGCTGGAGGGTGGAGGATGCCGGAGCTCTAAGATGTGTGCTGGGAAGAGCCAACTGGCTGGGGCGTCTGTTTGCTGTACTATGGCTGCTAATGGTGATCCTAGAATGCCAAAAAAGAAGAGAGGAGTCGTGTAGGGCAGTCTCTTGATGTCTCGGAAAATATGTGTTATATTGAACAGAATTGAGTACAAATGTGAGCATTAATGAGTTATTCTGCTAAGAACTCAACAGAAACAATGAGCTTGTTTTGGAAACCGGTGGAAATGGGATTCTTATTCACAAGTTGTCAAAAATGCAGCCTGTGCCCTAGTGTTTTGTCCAGAAGAGAGCCTGCAAAAAGGCCAGACATTCAATAGAAGAGATTTCTCGGTAGACTACTGAAGGTGCTCCTTGATGCTTTCCCTGCTACATATTATAAGATAGGTGGAGGGATGTATTGAAGAAATTAAGAGAAAAGGAACCAATTTAAAGAGTTGAAAAATCCTTAGTCTACTCATACTGTCACAAATAAGAGAGGATGCTGCTGAACAACCACTTGTTAAAGAAACTGTGTGGTAGGAACCACGAATTTAATCAGCCACCACAGAAGGAGGAAGAGGGAAGGGGTATGCCAGCAGATGCTTCCATTTCAGCAAAAGGAGGTAGGGCAGTACAGCAGAGTTATTCCGCTAGCAACATGCATTCACTACAAAGAAAGGGGCAGCATGACCTGAAGAGAGAGTTCAGAGTTTCTGTGGGCTGAGGACGCTCACCTAGAGCTTTGAAACCAAGATGTTTGTCAACTCCAATATCTAATTGGATTTACCTTTCTGGGTTTTAGCCTTTCATGGCACAAACACCTTCCTTTCTTTTCTTGATGTCTCCCTTCTGAAACTGGAATCCCTCTTCTAGGTGCTCTGCCACTGTGCCTCAGATGTACACACCTGGTGTGAGCCACAAACTCACAGCTTCGGGAATCTGCTGAGAGGGGCCCATCATATCTAGGTATCTCCCCATGTGAGTAGATGATACTGAGATGAGATTTTAGTTTTAGATGTTAGAGTAAATGTTGATAGGACTTATATTTTTGGTTTTGAGCCAAACCCTTAATGACTGAGCCATCTCTCTAGTCCATGTTGATAAGACTTAACACTTAGGATCAAATAGCTTTCACAATTACATTGTTAGTGTATGAAAAGATCACTCTGATTGTTCTCTGATTTTCCTACCTCTTTTCATTGATTTCAAAAAATAAACCTGACCAATTAGAGACAGCCTTGATCAATTCCTCTCTCCCTTCCTTCTCTCCTGTCTCTGGATTCCTTCCCAGGACATAAGGAACTGAGGTTTGGTTTCCCTTCTTGCTTTCCTAGCAGACCTCCTCTGTGTATGGTCCTCCCTCTGCCTCTGAGAGGATCTGGAACAGCCTAGGACATTGCTGCTCACTTTTGGTCAGGGTAGATTTGTATTTCTATCCAGTTGTCCAAGCAGACTAGCTTGGATATCTGTACACATCTAGTGACATAGTTAAAACATAACATAACTCTCTAATGAAAAAGCTACATGTGGGAGGCTGGACCCCAATCCTACTCTGCAATGATGCTGGTGTTCCTGACCCCCTTAGTAGGAGTAGAAGGAGAGAAGAAAGAAGGCCAAGAACTGTCCGGTGTGTCTGGCATGTCTGTGAGCAGACATGAGATACTGGGGGACTCTTGGGATTTAATCAGGTTTCATGAAAGACCCGCATACTCTGGAGGTGAGCACAGGTGGTTCTTTTAGAAGGAGAGAAGAAAGAAGGCCAAGAACTGTCCGGTGTGTCTGGCATGTCTGTGAGCAGGCATGAGATACTGGGGGACTCTTGGGATTTAAGCAGGTTTCATGAAAGATCCGCATACTCTGGAGGTGAGCACAGGTGGTTCTTCCCCTAGAACTGGTACTATATGTCTTTCCTTGACGCAGGTGCCAGATCCCCCTTTTGCTGTGGTCTGCTTTCATGTCTCCTTTTGGACAGGATTTATACCCTACTACCACAGGCTAGTAAACAGACAGCATGATCTACTTGGTCCATAGGAATTGTATACCTTTGACCACCTGGCTGAACAGTCCTTTCTACCTGAGGCTTATTGCCTGACAGGAGCCCCCAAAGCCATTTCCTCTTAGATTTCTAAGTAGAGGAGGAACAGCAGCCTTTAGTCCATACTGGTCCCAGAAGGCACATAGTGTCACAGAGCCCTTCTGAAGCACCTCTGGCTGCACACAAGGGGAGAAGAAACCCTACTCTCTTGTGGTATGGGTGGAGATAGATTTAGTGCATGACCCCTTCCTGAACTTTTACCCAGTGCCACCTCTGTCTTCACTCTGAATCTCCCTGTGGAGCCTGGGAATAGTTGTTGTCAGTTGTCTTGAGGTCTCAGTTAAAATTTATGTGGAAATAATTCATTTTAGTATTCTTTATAATGTGAATGGGGAAGGTGTCATGGTTTTTTTGTTTTGTTTTGTTTTTGTTTTTGTTACCCAGTGCCACCTCTGTCTTCACTCTGAATCTCCCTGTGGAGCCTGGGAATAGTTGTTGTCAGTTGTCTTGAGGTCTCAGTTAAAATTTATGTGGAAATAATTCATTTTAGTATTCTTTATAATGTGAATGGGGAAGGTGTCATGGTTTTTTTTGTTTGTTTTGTTTGTCAGTAGGTAACCAGTCTTCTCTTCTGTTGATGACAGACACAAGTACAAGATAAAGTATTTTCTTTATTTATTTTTAAGACAAGGTCTTATTATGTAACCTTGTCTGGCTAGAATTCATTATGTCGATCAGATTGGCCCACTGCCTGGCCACGTACATGCCTTTTTAACATTTAGAGTATACTGTGGGAAATCTACTTTTAAATAACCTCTTTCATTTTCAGTAGGTAACCAGTCTTCTCTTCTGTTGATGACAGACACAAGTACAAGATAAAGTATTTTCTTTATTTATTTTTAAGACAAGGACTTATGATGTAACCTTGTCTGGCTAGAATTCATTATGTTGATCAGATTGATCTTGAACTTGTAGGGATCCACCTGCTTCTGTCTCTCAAGTGCTCAGATTAAAGATATGCACTACCACACCCAGCAAGATTTAGTATTATAAAAATGAATCAATGTGCTAACAGGAAATTAAGAAACACTCAGAGAACAAAAATTAAAGAAATCAACCCAATGATTAAGAACCAAGAGATAACTACTAAATAAAAATTTGAACAGAATAGGGGAAATTCCAGATGGAGTATTCTAAGATGTAGATGGAATGAGAAGCAAGAAAATCGTGACTCTAAAGTAAATCAATCATTGACTGAAACAATGGTATACAGTAAAAACAAAAAATAAAGAGAAATGAGAGCATAAAATATAATCTTTCATAATACAATTCTGTTCTACTATACATTCCATTTATTCTGTATTTGGTCATATCTTTTTTTTTTGGTTTTTCGAGACAGGGTTTCCCTGTGGCATTGGAGGCTGTCCTGGAACTAGCTCTCGTAGACCAGGCTGGGCTCAAACCCACAGAGACCCCCCTGCCCCTGCCTCCTGAGTGCTGGGATTAAAGGCGTGCACCACCACTGCCTGGCCACATACATGCATGCCTTTTTAACATTTAGAGTATACTGTGGGAAATCTACTTTTAAATAACCTCTTTCATTTTCAAAAGAAAATTAATTTTCAAAAGAAAAACCAGAATGAGGAAATATAATCAAAGAAAAAGACTAGAAAGAAGTAAAAACTCAAATGGGTACAATAAATAGAAAGCATAAAAGTCCAATATATTACTAA